AATCCAAGTAGAAAATCCATCAAAGTTCAGTCAGGTTATCTGGATGGTTTCTTTTTTTGTTGAGACGTTTCGTCCTTCAGCCAAAGGACATCATCATTCCAAGGAGCCACAAACAAACTCAGTCCCACAAGCAGCACACTCGACAGGGGAGAGGGCAGACCCCAAAACCATCTTATCACCAGCAAACTGGTTGGTCCACTATGTGAATGTGCTGCTTGTGGGACTGAGTTTGTTTGTGGATCCTCGGACTGATGAAGTCCTTTGGATGAAGGACGAAACGTCTCAACAAAAAAAGAAACCGTCCAGATGACCAGACTGAACTTTGTTGGATTTTTTTACCTGGATTATTGAGCATGACCTTTGATGCTCACCTGAGATCTCAAAGTATGTGGTGAGGATGATGCTCAGCTACTACCACACCAAGTTTAGCTCAATATCGGTAAAACTCTTTGAGTTATAGCCATTTTAAAATGTTTCTCTGGGTCATTTGGCTCTGGCTTTTATCTGATAAAATCATTTACTCAATCTGTAAATTTGACGTTTGTTTATTTGTTCTTGTTGTGAGCAAAATTGTCTTCATAATCTGACAGCCACTCAAAAAGCTTTGCAGTCTTTTTACAGTTTTAATCTGATTTTAGGACATTTGAATGATCAGACTGCCTGGAGGCTGCTTTGAGGAGCTCATGGTTATCGATTGTTTGAATACTAATTGAGCAGCTTTAACATCATAATTAATGTAAATAAAGCTTTAATTAAAGCTAAATAAAGTAAACTGATGAGTCGAAGCTTGTTTGGTTCATGAAGTATAGAAAAATCACTCATTTTCTCTATTTTAGTTTAAATGCTCAAAGGAAAAACAACATTTCTAAAGATTAAAATTTGGAAAATTGTATTTATTTCCCTTTATGCTTTTTATTCATACTTTGTGGGTTTAATTAATCATCACCCACCACCAACGGCAAAGTGGCAATATTGTTTTTGCCCATGTCTGTCTGTGCATCTGTCTATTAGCATAATGTTTCATGGAACGCTGGATGAATTTTGGTGAAGCTCTCAGATTAATGGATGAACATTTACAACTAATTACCTTTTGGAGTCAACCTCATTCAAGATGGCCACCACAATTAATCACTCTTAGCAGACCAAAAATTTACTTTACTTTAGTTAAGTTTACAGATATTGAGCTGAATGTTGGTGTTAGTAGTGCAGCATCATCTCCTCAAAAAACAAAGAGCTATACACATTAACTGTTGGCTACAGCATTGTCTGTCTGTTAGCAAAATATCTCAAAAAGCACGGGACAAATTTTAATGAAACTTCTAGGAAATACTCATTGGATGTACATCTACCTGTACAACTGATTAACTTATGGAGCCAGTCTAATTTAAGATGGCTGTCACAGCTAACTGATCTTGCAAATCACATAAATGGCCTTATCTCAGTTAGTTTTACAGATACTGTGCTCAAACTTTGTGTGTTTGTATATGTATATGTATTACATTTATACTTTAAGTGCTACTAATTTTGTAACATATTTTCTCTGCATTAAATGATCTTAGTTTCAATCTTTGGTATGAAAGGTTGGTGGGCAATATGCAATACTGCAAGGAATGCTAAGCCTTTAATCTTAGTTCCATTTTTTTATTTTTTCACGTCTGCTCTGGCTGGTAGCTAATGCACAATGGAAACATGGAGCTCTGTCACCACCCAGTGGTGCACAGCTGACCTGCAGCAAAGTGAAAACTGCATGTGATTCAGCACATGTTTACCTGCAGAGCTGTGGATTAATAATAAGTGTTGGGTTTCCATGGAGACTGAGCAATAACTGAATGCATTAAGGTCAGCGTATATGCACGTTTTGTGTTACTTTCCATACTTCTTATGCATGTTTCAATGTAAATGACATGTAAAGAGACGTGTTTCTCCACTGGCATTTGATTTGGTAGCATTAAATGTAATGGCAGAGGTGGTTTGGTGCTGCATGCAGACAGATAAATGTCTGTGTCTGATAAGTATTCATGAGAGGACACCAAGATGCCTGCAGGCAATCAGAGCACAGAGATAGAGTTTGTGAGGGTGTCATTGATTATCAGGTCGCAATGAGGGAGGCAGACTGTTGAAGGCTTTTGTGAATGCTCCTACTCACCAGTTCAATACACGATTTCTTTTTGTTGCCTCCTCAGTCTCTTGATTTTCTTGACTTCACTTGTCTGCAATCAACTTTTCTTTGTCCCCAGTCTTTTGTCTTTACAGAGACGCATGTCAATTGCCAAAGGAAGCTCTTAATGCACAAGAATCATTATGAGAGCCAGAGTCACCGCCGTCCTACTGTGCACACAGAAACAATCAAAGGCCTCGCATTCCTTGAAAGAATCAGCCGCCACATTTCGAGACAGGTTTACTGTCAGACACAGGCCAAAACATTATTGCTCTGCATTCTCCTTTGCGGTAAAAAAGCTTCCCAGTTTTGGCACGTCCTTCCATCACATTGGTATTCAGCAGCATCCAGCCTCATTTGAAGTGATGTAGTTTAATTTGTGATGAAGATCAAAGTGTGTTTTTGCCTCTGGTCAGGGTGCAGCATCAGCCAACAAGAGGGATTGAGTCTGCTGCTCAAGGAGACTTCAGGAGAAGGCCAAAGCTGCTGTTAAAAACGTGATGAGAAGTCCATGCCGTCAGATTTACGCTGCTTGTGGTGACAGGTGACAACTTTTATCTGAGAATATATTGATTAGAATAGCTCCTAGCTTAAAGTATTTGTTTTGGATTAATTAAGATAAAATGGGTGTTGTGAAAAGATGATTAATTTTATGTTTTTTTAGTATTGTCATAAAACAGATAAAACACAAAGACATCAATGACTCATATCTCTGTGGTGTGACGATGAGTGTAATGTTAGCAAAATATCTCATGAATCACCTGGATGGATTTTAATGAACTTCATAGAAAATTATCACTGGATGAGCATCAACTGTTTAACTTTTGGAGTCACCCCAATTCAAGATGTCTGCCACAGCTATTCTGTATTAGCCAACAAAAAATTACTGTAACGCAGTCATTTTATCAGATACTGAGCCAAACGTAATGTGGTAGTAGCTGAGAGTCACACATTATTAACATATTTTGATTTTGCAGTTAAAGTTTAAACACAACAACTATAACTCCATCCGTTTTCATTATAAAGTGATTTTGTTATTTAAATGTGGCGGTGATATGCATTCATTCAAAAAAATCTACACCTTTTGTTTGTTTTATTTTATGTATCTTAGCTCAAATATTGAAATAAAAATAATAATCCATTAGCCTCTGTAAATATTTACCAGTATTAATTTTTTTTCTTTAGTCTCTTATAGAATTAGTCCCGTGTTTCATCTGAGCAACCTGTGAACTGAGATTTAAAGAGGATAAAATCAAATCATGTGAATAATCTTTCACTTTTATTGTAGGTTAGTTTCCCTGTTAAAGTAAAACAGTTGCCGTGCTTTTCGCTGTATAAGTCGCACCTTTTTGCATAAATTAGCATGCCCTGCAACTTATACAGCAAAGCAACTTTTTAAACTTTTTCCCCATATTTATAATCCAATTTTTGGCTGAGATCTGACGATTTCATTCATTCTGACATGGAAAATATTGAACACTAACATTTTCGGCCACTAGAGGGCCCTTGACTGATTTGGCAAGCCAAGTGTCTCATTAACAGGTAAAAGTGGCTATTAATGAGACACTTTGCTTGCCATACTGGGCCACCTTCATCACGCTCCAGAACTCCTGGAGCAAACTTCAAATCAGCTGCATTTCGCCGTGCCACCCTGACAAAATGCAGCTGATTTGACCATTAAAGTGAAGCGAAAAAATTCTGTCAAAACTGAGACAAGTGCTGAATTTGTATTTACACTGAGCCCAAACATTCTCCCCTATATGCTCGTCATTGTGCTTTTAATATAAATGGCTGTGTCATCATACAAACACTGTATGATGAGAAACACAGTGTAAAGCTGGCTGTACAGCCTAAAAATTATTGAAGCTTCAAAAATACCGAATGTCTCCAGATGTCACTATCTGTTCATGACTTGTAGCATAAAATGTCCTTGCTTTTAAATGGTTGACCTGAAAATATTGTTTTGAAATGATCTGCAAGTAAAAAAAGCTAAGCATGCATTCTCTTAGCTTTTTTTTATTATTTAAATAATAAAAAAGCTAAAAAATAATAAAAGTAATAATTTAATAAAAATAATTTAATAAAAATAATACTTTAATAAAAATAATAAGGGGGGGGGGAGTTTTGCTTTGTTTGTTTGCTAACCTCATACTGATAATTCTACTATCAGTGTTTTATCCTAAATGTTTTTTTATGACTTAATTTTAGTGTTTAGTGCAGTTTGTTGGAGAATAAATTCTAATGTAATAACCACGTATCCCTAATATTTTTGTTTGTGATGATAGCGATACTTAACTTCATCCTGTGGCCTTGCTTTGCCACTAGAAGACGCATTGTATCTGGTTTTGGAAGAGGGGCATGAACTTTGTGGGAGAGGTGTGTCTGCTGCTGGAAAGTAACACCAAAATAAAGATCACGTGTTGGCTCAAGATATTTTTTTAAAAACCGAATTCACACCATTTATGCACCGGTTGACAAAACGGCGCGCCAAATGGGCGGGAACGACATCTCATTTAGGGGAAACGCTTCACTAGCCGCTCGTCTTCACTTGTAGCCGAGTTATACTCCGGGTGACTAAAAAGGATTAAACTTTTGCCCTCTAGTGGAGTACAGTGGTATGGCAAAAATAAGAGAGCCTCCAGACTAAACCATTCAGCCGAATAGCAGCAGCTTTATTTATTTTCAAATAGATTATCCATTCAAATCCTAATATTTTGAGCTATATTAAAAATAATAAGAATAACAAGCGAGGTTATAAAAAGCAACTGGCCGGCTACAGTTTAAATATCTGTTTTGTCTCCCGTAACACCGGAGAGGAATGGTACGGTCCAATAGTATTGTAGGCAAAGCTGAAAAACGATTTGTTTTCACCGAGAGGAAGAAACGTCGCTGACGTTCAACGCTGCAGCATCCTCTGAAAAAAAAGAAAAAAAATCGGTTGTAACATTAATTCTATATCTGGTTGTTTTTCGGACATCTCGCCATGGCTCTGTGCGGGGGTGTCGGAGCCATGGCTTTGCCCAGCGAGCTTATCGTCCACATATTCTCATTTCTGTCCGACCGAGACAAGCTCCGGGCCTCGGCCGTGTGCTCCCGGTGGAGGGAGTGCCTCTTCTACCCGGCCCTGTGGACCGAGCTCAAACTGCGGATAGGCGGCTCCGACGAGACCTCGAAGCTCGAGTTCCTCATGCGGAAGTTCGGTTCTTTTGTCCGCGAGCTGCAGCTGGAGCTCGCCCCGGCGGAAGGCCACCTCGTTCCGCTGAACAACGAGCCGTCAGCCCGGATGGAGCAGCCTCTCGGTCACGATGGCGACCAGCAGCCGTCGGAGCGATGGAGGAGCGCCATGGCCGCCTACTTGGACCAGATGCTGTGCGTGTTCACCAGCATCCGAAACAATAGGTAACGTTCAGTTCAATTATTTAATTCCCACTTAACTTTGCAGGAAGTACAATGACGTCGTTGTTAAATATATTCACATTTTTGCTGTAAACAAACCATGACAGTAGCAGTTACGTAACCGCAGTGGTGTTTTGCATCTGCAGACATTTTTTTTTAATGAGCAGTTCAGAGCCAGCTTGTTTTTTTATTCTGCTGACTAAAAACAGACTACAATGGCAGCTGTTGTGTTGAGGCCTTTGTTGGCTGCGACTGTTGATCATATGTACACTTTATGTGTGGATATAACTAGCTTGGCTGTAATATTTTAGCAGCAAAAAGTGGCTACATGATGGTTAATTTCTGTGGAAAATTCCATTCTGCACCCAAACCTTCCCTTTTGTTGTTTTTGTCAACTTCTCCTCTATTCTCTTTGTTACCACAGAACTTTCTAGCACATTGGCCTCAGAAGCATTTGTAATGTGTGTTGGGGGGGACACACTGGGGGGGGGGGGGGGGTCTAGGGGTTCTCCCCCTGAAGTTTTTCAATAAAGTAGATGCCATTTCCTGCATTCTGGTGTATTTTAACAGGTTATTAAAGATCTACGTTTAACCTATATATGTAAACGATTCAATAACTATTTTAGTTAATGGCTCAAATAGAAGTAGCCTGACCAACAGCTCTCCTTGTGTGACTAGAGCACGCTCCGCTTCTCTGATGCATCCTACCTCTCGTCCCCTTCACATATAATTTGTAAAGCCTATGATCTAGCATAAAACAAACCCATTTTCTTGTTCTGCTGTTTCTTTACAGAAATTTCACAAAACACTGCTTTTGAATATAATGGTGACGCACCTCGACTGGCCCTCGTGTGGTTTTTAAATGAAGAAAAGTTAGATGCGTGTTGAATTTTATTAAATTTAGGCTAAATGTAATTACTGGGCAATGTGTCTCCACCAGATGATGCAGAAGGGCAGTTTAGGGCAGCTGGTAACTGTTGAATCCTTTTTCAAAAGCAGTGTTTTTAACCTTTAAACAAATTTGGACATGGTTTGTATAATGAAATAGTTTCCAAGTCTATGTCATTTTAACATGTTAACATTCTATTCTCATCTTTGCATGTGATTAAAGCACTCGTTTTCTTCCGGTCACTATAACTTTCAACAAGAAAATGGAAAATGAATCTATTTTTGAAGACACTAACTTAGACGATTTGAAACTACAAAATAACCAGCCAGCTGTCTTAAAGAAATCAAACATATTGTATGTTTTTGTCTGTGTGATATATACGTATTCGCTTAGAAACCATTTAGACTGGTACTTTTCCAGATCTTGTTCTAAGAAATGTAAACATCCAGGTTTTGAGAACAACACTTTATGCATCGTGACCTGTCCTTCTTTTTACTGCATCCACCTTTGAAAGCATCCATTTAGGATGTACATTCGGCTGCTGCTTAATTTGTTTTGATGGCACAAAATATAAAGATCATAATAAAAGCCATACGTTCTTCTCACCACTGTAATGCCTTAAATGTTAGAGCAAAACCGCCCTGTGAAGATACTTGCAATGATCAAACACTACCAGGTTGCGCTGTTTTACCATCATTGTCATGTATCGTAAATATTAGGTGTGCTAAATTCTTCTTCTCCTTCTTTAGAAACTTGCAGAAGCTGAGTCTGTATGGAGACACGTTTATTCTTCAACAGGAGGGACTGTTGGACAGCTCTAACCTGCATCAGATTCACCAGGGAGACAAAAAGATTAACGAGTAAGAAAGCCGGAAAGTTCTGCATGTTTAAAATGGAAGATGTGTTTTTATATGTAAATTGTTTTTCATTTTATAATATAGCTTTTGTTCGTAAAAAAAAAATGTTTTTATACGCTTGAAAAGGTTTGCTTCCATCCGCTGAACAATATTTTAGTTTTTTTCTGTGCAGTTGGTATTCTAATAATTTTTGTGGCTGAATGATGTAAAAATATGACTATAAAGACTTGCAAGTGACCTTTTACATAAAATTTTGTGTAGTCAAGTTTGATTAGGAAATATCGTGCACATTGTGGCTCTTTCAATTATGTTATCAAACGTGTAAACTTTGATGCAGGTAATGCTGATCTCATCTCATAATGAGTGTGAACAAACCGATATGCCAGCTGTCCACATGTTGGTAAAACAAGTATCAGCCTGGATTGGATATCCGTATAAGAATCTGGTCATATTTAAAGTAGGATTCATACCATCGCTCCACAAACACCAGTTTTCTTGGTGTAGATGTTTAGATATTTGTGTTATTCTTTATGTAATAGCAACAATCTGAAGGAATCCAGGTTTCAGTGAACTGAAGTTACTTCTCATCCTGTGTTGAACAGAATCCAGCAGCTGTTCATGGAGCTGCTGTCCAACAGCAGACAGCTAAGATGGTTATCCTGCAGCTTCATGCTGGGCCTGGTGACTCCCTGCTCCTTAGCATGCCTGTCAAATCCCTCAGCCGAGACCCTGCAGCACCTCAGCTTACTGGACCATCAGCTAGGTTTGTGTTTGCCTATTATATCCCTCCGTTTGGGGTTTTTAGTTTTGCTGAATCGTTTTGTTTCTTTCAGGTCCCCTCATCTCACCATCAGAGCTGGATCGTCTCTCCAACATTCATTCTTTGGCTTTGGATTTTTCTGACTTCACGTCTGAGCTTTGTGGTCTGTTGGCGTCTCCTCGGCGAACTCCACTCCATCGCCTCGCCCTGCTGCTCAACGGTGCTGCCCTGGAGTTTAAACCATTGGAAGGGACAGCTACAGAGGACGACTGGAAGGCACTGGTAATGTGACAAAACATCCAAATTCATTTTTTCCTCTACATTCTTGACAGTTATTTAATCATGTACCTACCTGCAGAAGGAAAACTCAAATTATAGGATTTAATTACGCCTCTATTAGTAAAGTTAATTCAATTTCTCCCAGGTACGTGTGAGTGCCAACCTGCGAGTGTACATCATGGCTCTAGAGGTGGACAGCTCTGAGCTCCTCAGGATCCTAAAGCCCAGCCTTCCCCTGGAACGGATTCATCTCGACAGTTACAGTACGCTGGTTAGCGACGCCACTCTGGAGCTCATCTCTCAGCAGTACAACAAAACACTGACTCACTTCCTGCTCCTGAGGGATGGCTCCGACTTCCCCGACCTCAGCGTCAATCGCAACGAAGACCCCCTGGTCCTACTGGCGTGGAGGTGCACTCAGCTGGCTGTTCTGGTGATACATGGTGAGTTTTAGTTCTGGTTTCTGATTAAAATGTCACATCTGTTGGTGTGATGTGTCATGGTTAGATTTAAGCTAGATTTTTCTTAAAAATATTTCAAATGTGACAATGTGTTGATGTCTGAAGCATGCAAGACAACCTTACGACTAAAATTGTACTCCAGGAAAAATGTGTTGCTTCAATTTATGTAAAAATAATCATGACAACTGATGGTTTATCACCTTCTAAGGCACACATGGGCAACATACGGCCAGAGGGCCAGACGTGGCCTGTGAACAATCTATCTGGCCCACAATATACGTAATTAAAAAGAAAACTGTTAATGAAACTTAAGGAAATTTAAATTAAACATCTTAGACAAACGCGTATAAAACTTTTGGACTAAAATAAGCCTAAACTTTTTTTTCTGGTAAGTGTTTCCTGTTTTAGACTGAACCTTAAAGAGTCAAAATAGCAAACGTATAGCATTAAAAAAAAAATTATATATATATATATATATATATATATATATATATATATATATATA